AAAAAAGGGGTGGGGGTTTCCCCAGGGGACTTCCCCTTAATTTCATTTGATTTGTTTTATTGTCCCATTCAAGAATATATATGGTTTAGGGGTGGGGATCTCGACCATTTACAAGATATCAAAAAGAAGGGGAGGGGGGTTACCCCCATGGACTTCTTCTATATTTCATTTGATTTGATTTATTGTCCCATACAAGAATATATATGGTTTAGGGGTGGGGATCTTGACTGTTTACAAGTTCTCAAAAAGAAGGGGGTGGGGGTGACCCCCATGGACTTCCCCTATATTTTCATTTGATTTGTGTTACTGTCCCATACAAGAATATATATGGTTTAGGGGTGGGAATCTCAACCGTTTACAAGTTCTCAAACAGGAGGGGGTTGGGGTGACCCCAGGGGACTCGCCTTTTACTTCATTTGATTAGTTTTATTGTTCCATACAAGAATATATATGGTTTCAGGGTGGGGATCTTGACCATTTACAAGTTTTCAAAAAGAAGGGGGGTGGGGGTTACCCCAGGGGACTTCCCCTCAATTTCATTTGATTTGTTTTAATGTCCCATTCAAGAATATATATATGGTTCAGGGGTGGGGATCTCGACCGTTTACAAGTTATCAAAAAGAAGGGGGTGGGGGTTACCCCCATGGACTTCCCCAATATTTCATTTGATTTGTTTTATTGACCCATACAAGAATATATATGGTTCAGGGGTGGGGATCTCGACCGTTTACAAGTTATCAAAAAGAAGGGGGGTGGGGTTGACCCCCTGGACTTCCTATATATTTCATTTGATTTATTGTCCCATACAAGAATATATATGGTTTAGGGGTGGGAATCTCAACCGTTTACAAGTTTTCAAAAAGAAGGGGGTGGGGTTTACCACCGTGGACTTCCGTTAAATTTCATTTGATTTGTTTTATTGTCCCATACAAGAATATATATGGTTTAGGGGTGGGGATCTCAACCGTTTACAAGTTTTCAAAAAGAAGGGGTAGGGATTTACCCCGCGTGGACTTCATCTATATTTCATTTGATTTGATATATTGTCCCATACAAGAATATATATGGTTTCTGGGTGGGAATCTTGAACGTTGAAAAGAAGGGGATGGGGGTTACCCCAATGGACTTTCCCCTATATTACATTTGATTTGTTTTATTGTCCCATACAAGAATATATATGGTTTAGGGGTGAGGGATCTTAACCGTTTACAAGTTCTTAAACAGGAAAAAGGTGGGGTGACCCCAGGGGACTCGACTTTTATTTCATTTAATTTGTTTTATTGAAATATACAAGAAGAAAAATGGTTTCAGGGTGGGGATCTTGACCGTTTACAAGTTTTCAAAAAGAAGGGGGTGGGGTTTACCCTCGTGGACTTCCCCTAAATTTTATTTGATTTGTTTTATTGTCAAATACAAGAATAAATATGGTTTAGGGGTGGGGATCTCAACCGTTTACAATTTCTCAAACAGAAGGGGGTGGGGGGTTACCACAATGGACTTCCCCTATATTTCATTTGATTTCTTTTATTGTCCCATACAAAACTATATATGGTTTAGGGGTGGGGATCCCGACTGTTTACAAGTTCTCAAACAGACACGCTGGGGGTGACCCCAGGGGACTCACCTTTTATTTCATTTGATTTGTAACATACAAGAATATATATGGTTTCAGGGTGGGGAGCTTGCACATTTACAAGTTTTCAAAAAAAAGGAGGGTAGCTGTGAACCCGAGGACTATCCCAATATTTCATTTGATTTGTTTTATTGTCCCATACAAGAATATATATGGTTTAGGAGTAGGGATCTCAACCGTTTACAAGATAAAAGCACATTATCAAATTGAAGGGGGGTAGGGGTAAGAATATATATGATTAACGGACATTTAATTATCTACAAAATGTCTAATAATGAACAGTAAATTCCAAACTTCATTTATACAGTAATACTAGTAAGTTTCAAACTGTATATATACAGTCCTACAGATCTTATCAGAAAACAGAAAATTTTCAAATAAATCTGTCACTCCAATGATTATCATATGCTAAAATATTTCCAAGATCTAATTAATAATGAAAATAAATCATTATCATATGCTGAAATATTTACAATATCTAATTGAACAGAACTATGGTTGTTTAACATAGTACTCTAACATAATTAATAATGTAATAATCTTCAAAATGACTAATGATATAGCTTATAATCATTACCACTTAGGAAATAGATAATTTTCAAATAAATCTGTCACTCCAATTTTTATTCTGAGATAAAACAAATCATAACATAATAACAACAGTAAAATATTTAAAAATTCTTCTTTTGGATATTAAAAATGGCGATAACTCACAAAGGAGATATACTAAAATCTTGAAAATTAATAGAGACCTTCAACATATTTAAATTTGAAAAAAATTTGTTAAAGCGTTTTCATGTTATTGTGCGGACACTGTTTGGCAGCCGCCAAACCGCCCAGCCGCCCGTCGTATATCACCATTTTAATAACCGATATTTCCTTCGAAAATCCGTTTAAAAATCAAATATCACAAAAAGTACTTCCATAACCTATCAATAATTTTAGCTTATTCTCTTCCTTTACTAATGCTCTTCTGACTTACAGTATCAATTTTAAATTCTACACTTTTTTAATTTCACCTAGCTACATCCTTAATTACAAGAAAAGAAAGTAGAATAGGGTGTTGTCAGATCCTTGTAAAACTAGAGGCTCTCAAGAGCCTGTGTCGCTCACCTGATTCTACTTTGGTTTTGGAAATCATAATAACAACAGTTAAATATTTAAAAATTCTTCTTTTGGATATTAAAAATGGCGATAACTCACAAAGGAGATATACTAAAATCTTGAAAATTAATAGAGACCTTCAACATATTTAAATTTGAAAAAAATTTGTTAAAGCGTTTTCATGTTATTGTGCGGACACTGTTTGGCAGCCGCCAAACCGCCCAGCCGCCCGTCGTATATCACCATTTTAATAACCGATATTTCCTTCGAAAATCCGTTTAAAAATCAAATATCACAAAAAGTACTTCCATAACCTATCAATAATTTTAGCTTATTCTCTTCCTTTACTAATGCTCTTCTGACTTACAGTATCAATTTTAAATTCTACACTTTTTTAATTTCACCTAGCTACATCCTTAATTACAAGAAAAGAAAGTAGAATAGGGTGTTGTCAGATCCTTGTAAAACTAGAGGCTCTCAAGAGCCTGTGTCGCTCACCTGATTCTACTTTGGTTTTGGAAATCATGTAAAAATAGATTAAAATCATAACAGATACCCTAATTATGAGTGAGGCCAAATTTGGTTTAATATTGGTCCTGTAATTTAATAAAAAATCCTGGTGGCCATCTTGAACAGTAAATCGGCAACAAAGTAGCAACACTTAATCAGCACCTCATAAGAAACATTTATGCCATGTTTTGGTTTCATTCCATTCAGTGCACCTCTAGAAGAAGCATTTGTATGTATTTCCCATAGGGTCTTATGTTAAAGGAAGTCCCCCCATTGGCGGCCATCATGGATGAAGGATCAGCTTCAAAGTAACAAAACTTAGTCAGCACCTCATAAGGAACATTCATGCCATGTTTGTTTTCAATCCATTCAGTATGTGGTTCTCTAAAAGAAGTCATTTGTATGTATTGTCCATAGGGTCCTTTGTTAAACATTGCCCCCATCTGGCAGCCATCATGGATGAAGGATCAGCTTCAAAGTAACAACACTTGGTCAGCACCTCAAAAGGAACATGCATGCCATGTTTGGTTTCATTCCATTCAATGGTTCTCTAAAAGAAAACATTTGTACGTATTTCTCATAGGGTCCTATGTTTAACTAAGTCCTCCGCTGGCGGCCATCTTAGATTATGGATCTGCTTCATAGTAACAACATTTGGTCAGCACCTCATAAGGAACATTCATGCCATGTTTGGTTTCATTGCATTTAGTGGTTCTCTAAAAGAAGACATTTTTATGTATTTCCCATAGGGTCCTATGTTAAACTAAGTCCCCCGCTGGCTGCCATCTTGGATGATGGATCAGCTTCAAAGTAACAACACTTGGTCAGCACCTCATAAGGAACATTCTTGCCATGTTTGGTTTCATTCCATTCAGTGGTTCTCTAAAAGAAGACGTTTGTATGTATTTCCCATAGGGTCCTATGTTAAACTTAGTCCCCCGCTGGAGGCCATCTTGGATTATGGATCGGCTTCAAAGTAACAACACTCGGTTAGCACCTCATAAGGAACATTCATGCCATGTTTGGTTTCATTCCATTCAGTGGTTCTCTAAAAGAAGACATTTGTATGTATTTCTCATAGGGTCCCATGTTAAACTAAGTCCCCTGCAGGCGGCCATCTTGGATTATGGATCGGCTTCAAAGTAACAACACTCGGTCAGCACCTCATAAGGAACATTCATGCCATGTTGGTGTCATTCCATTCAGTGGTTCTCTAAAAGAAGACATTTGTATGTATTTCCCATAGGGTCCCATGTTAAACTAAGTCCCCCGCTGGCGGCCATCTTGGATTAAGGATCGGCTTCAAAGTAACAACACTCGGTCAGCACCTCATAAGGAACATTCATACTATGTTTGGTTTCATTCCATTCAGTAGTTCTCTAAAAGAAGACATTTGTATGTATTTCCCATAGGGTCCCATGTTAAACTAAGTCCCCCGCTGGCGGCCATCTTGGATTATGGATCGGCTTCAAAGTAACAACACTCGGTCAGCACGTCATAAGGAACATTCATGCCATGTTTGGTTTCATTCCATTCAGTGGTTCTCTAGAAGAAGTTCAAAATGTAAAAAGTTAACGCCGACGACGGACGACGCCGGACGATGACGGACGACGGACGCCAAGTGATGAGAAAAGCTCACTTGGCCCTCAGGTGAGCTAAAAAGGGTGGACACATATAATCTATATTTAAATCAGATTGGTCCTGAATCTCTCCTGATTGGACACTGACATCAGTATGCCATATTTACAGGGGGGGGGGGGGGGGGGGGGGGGTTATTTCATATATCATCAGATGACAGTCAGTAAAATACAACCTGTTGTAAAAAATAAATTTAAACAGAAATGTTTTGACAAAATAAACAAATAGTATATTATGAATAAAATGTAAACGTTTAATAAATATATAAGTTTCATTTATGGAATGCAATGTTAGTAAACAAAACCAGTAAAAATATACATGATATATAAACAGACAAATATAACAATTAACTCATTACAATGTATATAAACATATAATGTCATATCTGGATGGTGCAACTAAAACAAATAATTTAACAAGATCAGAATCATTTTGTAGCAAGAAAATATTATAACATTAAAATTAAATTTGTAAATGATTATAACATATAGATAAATATGAAACAGGTCATTTATTTATTGACTGTAAAAAACGTTTATAAAAAGGAATCCAGTTTCAACAGTCATAAGTAGCAACACAGTGGTTTTGATTTGATTTGATGCTAACCTTTGATTGTCAATTATTACATTCATTATTATGATGGCTGTAAAGTTATATATTTATAAATTTATATTAAACAACAAACATTATTTCAATAATTCCCATACTACATAAATATGAAAGAATTAAGGTTTTAGAGAACCAACATTTGAAATATGAACAAAGTCACTATCCTAGAAGTGGATACCTTGTGGGATGCAGGGTTATTTTTATTAAATAAGATAAAAAAATATTAACACTTTGTAGGATTCTAAGGTACTCTTGTTTGATCCACATGTTCCCTGTGTGGACAAGCTTTCATCAATATAAAAATAAGGAGATGCGGTATGATTGCCAATGAGACAACTATCCATCCACGTTCAAATAAAGTGGATATAAGCAATTATAGGCAACTGTATGGCCTTCAACAATGAGAAAAACCCATACCCTATAATTGGCTATAAAAAGCCCCAACATGAAAAATATGAAACAATTCAATTGAGAAAACTAACGGCCTAATTTTTAACAAAACAATTAACGTAAAACAAAGACATTTTGCGAGCCTAAACATGTTGATCAAATAAAAGTATCTTAGAATCCTACATTGTCTTTTTTTTTAAAAAGTTTTCCAATATAAAAGATTAAATCATAGAAACTGAATTAATACAAATAGTTTATACTGTATGGATACTAATAATAATTCCTACAACTTAACAATATCCTGTAAAGTGACTGTCTTCAGTTCTTCTAGTGTTTGATCAAGTGTTTGTTTTGTCTGTGGGAAACTTCTATTGGCTGACTTCATCATAAGCTGAACTTTGACCTGGTGCAAAATGTCTGTTGACCTTGTTATCAACATATCTGCAGCATGGTGTGACCCTGAACATTTTAAAGTTCTTTTTGAAAGCTTAATGAGACGATGATCCTGAAAAATAATTTAGTTTATAAAAACATTTCTGGCACAAATATTTCTTTTAGAAGACCTTGATGATCGATAGAACTATGCTTGTCTGATGTCATGTCTTATAAAGTTTTTGTTAACAAATTCAGGCATGTTTAATATGCATTTTTTTTTACTAAAAAAATCAAATTGCCAGGAAGGGATGGGAATTAAACAGTACTGCAAGGAAGAAATAAGCGAGAATTACATTTCTACCATTTTTTTCATGAATTAGTATGTTCCTAATTTCCTAATCAAATTCTTAATCATTTTAATCAATTTCCTTCGTATGTGATAATATTATGAAATTTTAATAAAATCAAATTGAATATTTACTGATAGATAACAAAATATCATGCTTCATAATAAATTTCTTCTTTCTTCTTGTACCATCACATAATGATGCATAAAGTAAAAAAAAATAACGAGTTATTCGTTCAGATTTGGTGTTTCAAACAGCTGTTGGTGTTGTCTTTAAGCTTATCGGTAAGATCTTTCAAATATTAAAGTGCTGAATAAATCAAACAGTATTTTACCTAATTACAGCACTATTTGACTTTCAAAGTCATATTTTTTTCATAATATCAATTAAATATCAGATTTTGGCACACTCTCATAGAATTTGTTTGCAATTTACACATACTTTTTCTATTCCCAGTTAAACGCAAACAGAACTATTGCGTTTGTCTTTTGTATTTTAAGCTAGGCTTATCTTTACAATCATGAAGTGTTCTATAATACTTAATAAGGGACAACAGGATTTGCCTAGAATATTGCACAACAGTACAACAGACCACATCAACCCCAAAACCCTGAATCCTCCAAAAATATAAACTACAATGAACAACATTGGTCCAGATAGCCTGGTCTGGTACAGGCACAAAATACAGGGTTTACACTCCATAATTAACAATTAAACCTCTTTTTTTGAAGGAAACCAGACCTTTCCATGGAAATACTATAAACAACCTCATAGAACTTGAAACTTACTGCAGTTTTACTAGCAATTCCAGGTAGTGAAAAAAAACAACATTTTTCTCCCCCTGAATTCCCATGGCAAAAAATAGACTGTACAAATTATACAAAAAGCCAGATAATACACGATTGCTGACAATACTTGGAGAATTTGGTCTTTTGATAGTCCCTGTTAATATTTTTCCCAAGTTTTTATTTAGACTTTGATAATGTATTAATTGAATACTACATAATTGTATCATCAAACCACAAATACACATGGCCTTTCAACTTTGATTCCAATACTTAAAATTTTATAATATTATTCTTATTAAGATAATGGCTTTGTATCCTATGAATTTTTAAACACCATGCTGTTTAACATATTTCCAATTCCTGTGTAATTAAGTAACCAGCAAATAAATCTGTAACTACAGAGATATATTGAACATACAACAGTTTAATATTATTTTAGTCCTCTGGCATCCCTCAATCTGATATCCAGGTCACAACCACTTTAGTTGACCAAATGCACAGTTAAATTCTTTGTGTGGAAAATATCTTAAAAAAATGGCAAGAAAAAGGTCTTACACAAGAACTAGACAAAGTGATGCCCCTGCACTCCACTCGTAGTAACTGTATTATAACAAAGTCAATGTAGGACTTTCTTTGAGATATTATTGTGTCTGGGAGACACAAATGATGCCCCCCAGATGCAAAAAGTGTTATTTTAAAATGCACAAAGTTGAGCATGGGAGCACATAGGTCTATAGTTCACTGTAGGAGGAGTTATCTGGAAACGCTATGCACCTCTTATGCAAGTATATACTCCAAAAATGACAAAGTTCAACTATCTCCCTAAAGAGTAAATATTAATAAAAATCAAAACCCTGACCACATGCACACCTTCAATATATGTACAAACAGCCAGCAAAGTGAAACTTCATAGCATTCAAATTGTAGGACGAGTTATCCGGAAACGCTATGCACCTCTTATGCAAGTAAATACTCCAAAAAATGACAAAGTTCAACTATCTCCCTAAAGAGCAAATATCAATAAAAATCAAAACCCTGACCAAATGCACACCTTCAATATATGTACAAACAACCAGCAAAGTGAAAACTTCCTAGCATTCCAACTGTAGGAGAAGTTATCTGGAATAACTATATACCCATTATGGACGGACGGATGGAAGGACGTATGGAAGGACGGAATGACAGACGGACGGACTGACAGTGGTAAAACAATATGCCCCCCAACTTTCAGTTGCTGGGGCATAAAAAATATTGCAAGGGCTTTTACAGAGAAAGTCGAAATTTAACAAAACTAAAAGATAAATCATCATTTTCTTAACAAACTGAGAAAATAGCCTAGGCAAGCAAATCATAGAATATGAGATCAGTTATCTATTCTGATATGAACCTTACCAGAAAACTGAACATTGGTGTTGAAAAACTATGCCTATATCTTGATTGAGAAAACTCACCGTAGGCAAGGACAAAAACTGTCTAATTCCTTTTCTATTTATCTAAGTGAATCTTAAACACATTAGCATGTCCAATGATTTTAAGAACAAACCTTTAGTTGTGACTGTAATAATTCTTGAAGTTGTTCTGAGTGATCATCTATGTCATCACCATCTTGTTCTATACAATCTATAGTCTCCTTTTCTACAAACTATATTCATACAGGCCTTTTTTTAAAATATCAAATTTTCAGCATACTGTCATCATACATTACCTTATCAAAATATTTTTAATATCAAAACATTCAATCATGTTTGAAAGGAATAGAGCCTTCAGGACTGTATATACCAAGCTGAAAATCAATTCAGTAAATAACCTTAGCTAATTCCTTGGCTTTTCAGTATGTTCTTGTTTATATGCAGATTACTAAAAATGTTTTTTTTCATAAACCTTTTGCTGAAAAGACATACTTTTCTCTAAATATTCTCATTAAGTCCAAGTACTGCATTTTATACTTAGTATCAGAAAATAACATAATGATATGTTTATAATTGAATCTGTAATATATGCAGACATAATATTACATAGCAAAGAAATTCTACTTTTCCTTTTTTAAATATAATTTGCCTTTCTTAACATTATGAAATAACCTTGAATGGTATAAGACATATGAAAATGCCCTTCAAAGATTATGAATTAGATATTCTTTTTATGTGTATTTTACCTCATCTGTCTGTGTTAATTTCTGTGGTATATGATCTCTCAGCTTGTACTTATCACATATATGTAATGTTTCATATGTAAGTTGCCTAATGTATAGCTGTGTGCTCACTATTGCCTGGAAGTATAAAGGAATCACATGGACATTCACCATTTATCAATACTTTTATCTACATATGAAAAGTTTTGTAATTGAGGAATTAAAGTATAAAAAGTTTAAGTACACAAGATAATATATGGTATAACTGATATATATAATGTTGCATATATCAAGTAAAACATTATCAAATTATATACAATCGTTTGAACTACATAAAAATATTTCTATGTAAGATGCAAGGAAGCAGATTCAACTAAAAAATGTATACACATGTATAAGGATTATATTCAGAAACATTTCTGCTTACAACATAGTCATATAATATAATGGATATAATACTAAGCTTTCATTGTGTATCATCTAATTGTAAAATAAATACTGGATAAACCCTTGCTATGCATCACCTCCTTTAAAAGTACTTTGATATATATACTTGATTTCATTTTCATTTTCTACAAAATGTTTTGCATTTGATATTTTTATGTGAACCAAAAACAATGAAAAATATAGAGCAGTTGGTAGTAAAAACATGTTTATAAAAGAATTTTTAAGGAAAATCAAGGGGGTTAATTTCATCTATATCTTCATGAAATACAGAAAATGTATGACTATCCACATTTCTTTGTATACATTCAAGTATTTTTGGTGGGATAGAATCTTCTAATATTATCATTGCCTACAGAACTCTAGTATTTTTGGTGGGGTAGAATATTCTAATATTATCTTGGCCTGCAGAACTGGAGTATTTTTAACAGGGTAAAATCTTCTAATATTACCATGAACTACACAATCAGGATTCTATTTCGTCAAAATTATCTCCCCATTAAACCACCTACTTTTTTCAATGGTGAAAATGGAAACCATTGTACATGTTGTAGGGATGAAGCACTGCCAAATTAGATCCACATAGGATCATTACAATCCTTACATGACAGTTGTATTTTAAACACAAATGTATCTTCTAGCTACATTTGTTTTGTATTAAGCGTTTTGACTGTCAGTCACTTGACTGTTTGACCCATATATTTCATTTCTTGGTACTGTGAATTTTTAATGTTATTATGTCAACATGTAGCCTCAATATATAAATATATATTTACATACTCGAGTATTTCTGGTGGGGTAAAATCTCCTAATATTATCCTGGCCTACATAACTGGAGTATTTTTGGCGCGATAGAATCTCCTAATATTATCATGGCCTACAAAACTGGAGTATTTTTGATGCGATAAAATCTCCTAATATTATCATGGCCTACAGAACTGGAGTATTTTTGGCAGGATAGAATCTTCTTATATTTTCATGGTCTACAGAACTGGAGTATTTTTGGAGGGATAGAATCTCCTAATATTATCCTGGCCTACATAACTGGAGTATTTTTGGCGCGATAGAATCTCCTAATATTATCATGGCCTACAAAACTGGAGTATTTTTGATGCGATAAAATCTCCTAATATTATCATGGCCTACAGAACTGGAGTATTTTTGGCAGGATAGAATCTTCTTATATTTTCATGGTCTACAGAACTGGAGTATTTTTGGAGGGATAGAATCTCCTAATATTATCATGACCTATACAGAACTTACATGTTTATCCATAGTTCTTTGTATTACTTGAGTATTTTTGGTGGGGTGTAACATCCTTATATTATCATGGGTCTACAGAACTTACATGTTAATCCACAGTTCTTTGTATACACTCGAGTATTTTTTGTGGGGTGTAACATCCTTATATTATCATGGGTCTACAGAACTTACATGTTAATCCACAGTTCTTTGTATACATTCAAGTATTTTTGGTGAGGTAGAATCTTCTAATATTATCATGGTCTACAGAACTTACATGTTTATCTACAGTTCTTTGTATACATTCAAGTATTTTTGATGGGATAGAATCTTCTAATATTATCATGGTCTACAGAACTTACATGTTTATCCACAGTTCTTTGTATACATTCAAGTATTTTTGGTGGGGTAGAATCGCCCAATGTTTTCTGTAAACTTTTAAATCGAAATTGATTGTCAAAGTAAAAGTCACATTTCCCCTGAAAAAAATAAAGAAAAATACAGGATATCACATGAAAATGTTTATGTTCATTCAAACAGAATAAAACAAAGTAAACAATATCAGAATCAATTTCCAGGCATCACACCCTATAGCCATATACAAAGAATGTAGAAATGTAAGAGGGTCTGGGTAGGGTTTACAGAATAGAGAATAATGGACAAAAAGTGCAGAATAAATGGCTAAAAAAGGTAGAGAGAAATAGGCAAAACAAATAAAGAATGAGAATAATGGAGTGCTGAAATATAAAGAAAAGAGGAAAATGGTCTAAAAATTAAAGAATAAAGAAATAAAGGACTCCCATCCAGACATGTATGCAATTCAAAGTTTTTCCTAAATTAAATCATTTAATTCAATATTTGACTGTTCTAATATTTTAATTGGTTTTGTGTTTATTGCTGTCTGTTCATCTAATTTAACATATTGGTATATTACCTTCAGACAATTCCTAAACAGGATGGCTTGAGTATTTGATTCTGGAGTTAACTTTTTCATTCTTTGAATGTTCAGCACATATTGAGCCAAGTAATCAGCTAAATCTTCCTAAAATGGATACTCAAACAGTGAAGGGTTGGTTAAGTATCATTCCAAATTCAATAAACAAGACATGTTTTTTGCTTAAAAGCAATAACCGATAATTTCTGATGCATCATAACCTAAAATATATCCTGGCATGTATTATATATAAAGAACAAAATTAAAAAATTTGAATTAAATAAGTTGTTTTTAATTTTCCACAAAGTTCATATAAAGATATATAAAAAAAACAACAACAAGTAAACAAATTGAATAACAGATTAACAAAGAAAGGAATGATATTTTATTAATATGTTTACCTGTGCTTTGGCCACTGTCTGAATGTTACTTTTTCCACTACTGTTAAGCTTTCTGCTATTATCCTCTAAACTCTCAATGATTATTTGGTACTGTAAATAAACAAAACTCCTTTCTATACTTATCAAAGTGGGAAATTTGAAAATTTCAAATTTAGCAAATTGGGATGTTTTCTGCATGTCTGGCATGATAATATTTGAATTAAAATAAAATGAATACAAAATCTGAAGGACAATGTATTCATGACACATATGAATGAACTGCAATACATGATCTTACAGGGAAAAAACCTTAAGAACTAGCAATTCCATCTAATCATCTCCAAATCTTCCTACTGGAAAACAAATAAAATGTCTCAGGTTAGGGGGAGGGTCGAGTGCTCACAAACATGTTTAATCCCGCCACATTCTTTATGTGCCTGTCCCAAGTCAGGAGCCTGTAGTTCAGTGGTTGTCGTTGGTTCATGTCTTTCATATTTGTTTTTCATTAATTGTTTTGTTATAAATTAGGCCGTTAGTTTTCTCAATTGAATTGTTTCACATTTTTCATGTCGCGGTCTTTTATAGCCGACTATACAGTATGGGTTTTTCTCATTGTTGAAGGTCGTACGGTTGCCTATAATTGCATACATCCACTTTATTTGAACTCTGGTGGATAGTTGTCTCATTGGCAATCATACCTCATCTCCTTATTTTCATATTAACGAAATATTTCCTAAATTACCTCATTCAACTGATCTTCCATCTTAACTTCGTTTCTGTGCATTGTAGAATGTACTTTGAGTAACATTTCCAAAGAGTCACCTCCCTTAGCTAACATCTTTTCTTCCTTTTCTAACTTTTCCAGCTGTCTATTTCTCAACCTTTCTAAACAAGATTCACAAACTCTAACATACAATGCAAGTTCTGGTTCCACAGAGGGACTCTAAAGGTATAATAAAACATACTTGATAATATCTTAAACTTCAGAAAGAAATTTTATAACCATATTCCATTTCTTTATTCATATAACATTTAGATAACATTTTGAATAATTTTATCACACAAAAGATAGTTGTGGAATCTATTTTTCTGATGATATATGGATGATATAAAGGCAATCTTTATTATACTTTTTCAAAGATCTGCAAAAACATTGTGTTCTTTCTAAGAGAAGTCATAAGGCTTGCTCTCTTTGACTTCACAATAGCGAAAACAGAGTGAAGCAAGAAATTTGGACATCATAAATGAATTTAAACCAATGAAGAACTAAGATTAAGAAAATCACACATTGATTTTCAAAAGTTAGATAACAGGTAGAGGAAAGTATAAATAGGCTAAGAATAAGAGAAATATATCTATGGAATCTTCTATTCAACATGGGTGTCATTTGTGAAGCAGGAACAGTTTCCATTTACCCTTGTTTTTGTTAGGGTTAATGTTGCTAGATCTGTTTTCTAGGGTTTGCGGGCTGTCATTTTTATTTTTGACATTGTCTGTTTTTCTTTGACTTTTGGTTGCCCCCTTGGTATTTTTCAAACATGAACTTCTGCTATACCATTCATCAGTTAATAGATAACTGCATGAATAAAAGTTTTCTTATCAATGAACAACAAATACCTGTTTTGCAAAAACAAATATAATTTATAATAGTAAAATGGAGTAGAAATGGCAATTTAGTCTCCACACCATTTACCCCTGTTGACTGTCTTTATCATTGCAATATTACTTACCCCTATAACTTTAATGACAGCCAGTCTAGGTTCTTTAGTGTCCTCATCATCAGGTAGATATAATATGACATCTTTGAAAGAACAAGATTTACAGACAGCCCTCCCACATAATTTACAGTTATGTTTACTGCGAACCAAGTTAAATTTCTGTTGACATTTTTGGCATTGATTTGCCATGTTTTCTTGCTTGAAAAAGAAATCATCATGTTGTATTAAAATCAGAAATTAATTAAACAGTTTTAATGAAATAAACATATGAAAGACTAAACATTACTTAAATTGAAAAGTTTATTGTTTTTTGGGGGTAGCAATTTTTCATTACAACATAATGCTTATCTCAAAGAAGGTACAAGTTGGGGTTTAAATGGCATTGAATCACATTTTCTTAAATTAACAGAAACAAATATTGAATTTATTCAATTAAAAAAAAATGTTTTTGTTTTAAATTTTAATCCTTGATTTATGATTACCGGTAATGACATTTAATTCAGTAACATGGCAAACTTACACAAAGACTTGACAATTTGTTGCACAGATACAGAGTAATAATATAGGGCATAAACTAGGTTAGAAAATAAAAGTCTTATACAAATGTTAAATTTTTATTTTCAAAGAATTACAAAGTTTTATAAATCCTCAAATGTAACTTCTCCTTACAGAATTGTGAAACAAATATGGATTAGATGCTCATGAGACTAAAAACAAACAAATATGGTGGAAAAAAACCGATGCAAAAGTCTTTATCTTAATTTTTTTTTCAAAAGTCTCAAACAACTGTCAGCAATTGCATGATTAATTACCACTGTTTTCATAAACTACTGTGTATACAACTTTTTTTTTATTTAATTGTATTTTTGTGGATATTTGATTTTGTGGTTTTGCCAAAGTCTGTGTACAAGAATACAGAACATTTGTACTTTGTTGAACATTTGAATTCATGGTTAACAGGACGTTAAGCAACCAACAATCAATCAATCATGGTTAACATATATCCACGAAATCCATGTAAATTGGTATCCCAAGAATAATAATGAATCCAAAGTATAAAAATTTGTAAGACTCTTGTTAAACAATCATCATTTTTTATCAAATATCTTATCAACACTTTCTTAAAACACTGACATAATTAAATATAAGTTTACAGTATAACTCCCTTTACTCTCTTAAGATTGCAATGTCCTTCAGGTATACATCTATACCTACCAACCAAAAAGTAGATTTTTGCCAAGCTGGTGTTGATACAATATTAGTCATTTCATGTATAGTTCTTTTCATTTCTGATGTACCTATACTCTCTTTGAAGCCATTTAGCAATCGTCTTACTTCTTTTTCTAAATCCAACCTGCAATATCAACTGATTTTCAGTACTTTTTTTCAATGGACAAATTTGGCTATCAAAATATAGGAAGTCAGAAAATTCAATCTTTTTGTTGGTAAGGTACTAGAAAAAAACATGACAATATAGTATGAGGGCTCAATTTTGTGCATTTTGATTCTGACTTTGATTCCGTCCTTATGTATTTTCTTGTCATGAAAAAGGTTTAATTTGTAAAGGCAAGACTTCTAAATGCAAACTTTAACAATTACCTATTATTTTGAATATCAAAGGGTAAAGCTCACAGTAATCTTGCTTCTGACCACACAAAAAAGACAAAAGCAGTATTCACTGAATTAAAATTCTACTCCTTCAAACTGAACATATTTTTTCAATTTATCAGCTGCTTTGGTTACAAATTGGTATTTTTCTTGTGCAGAATTTCACGATTTAACACATATAGCTTTAAGAATTCATCAAATTTGGGGGGGCCTTGGTGGCCGGGTGTTCTAAGTAGTATCTAACTTATCATTAGCCTGTCAATACTGAGGTTGTGAGTTCGAATGGCAGGTGCGCTCGACTTCAATCTATAATGACTAGAATTGTCAGTTTTCCTACTGAAGGTCATGGTTCTCTTCTGGCACTCTGGCTTCCTCCACCGGTAAAAACTGACCACAACGAAAAAGCACAATAGTGCTGAAAGTGGCATTAAACACCAATCAATCAATCAATCAATCAGTCAATCATGAAATTTAAGTACTGGAAAGTTACCCAGCATTTACAATACACAATTATGATTAATTGATTTTATACCTTTGACTTTTCAAACTTTTGGTGATAAGAATACATTGCGAAGGTAATTCCAGAAACATTTATCAGAAATCATTTCATACATTTTCTATCACTTGATTGTACAGTTTATCAGTGCTAGTCCATAAGGGTACCATCTGCCCTGAAGCCAGTTTTCGCAGGTATGAGTAAAATGATACATTTTGTTTTCAAATTTCCAGTTCATTGAATTAAATATTTGTGCTTAAAATGAGGTTTCAACACTAACAGGCAAATTACTAATAACAATAAGCTCATCTCCATGAAGTGTCATAATATTTTGGTACAAAACACAGGCTTTTTTTGTTTTTAATGCAATCAATTATTCAACTTTCCAACTTTAGACTTCAAGCAAAAATTAGTTGTTTTGTAGAAACAAGTGTCTTACACACAAAATGTGTTTCTGTATTTATTTCATTAAAAACTTTATTTCATTTCTAATGAAATTAATAAAACACATTGTAACATATATATTCACAAAATAGCTCTCATACCTCTCCATGATTCAAACACATGTACAATAAGAATCAAAGAAAATAAGACATAAATCTCAAAAAATCTAGGTTAATCTTTACCTATTTCTCCATGTCCCTCGTACATTTCCATTCTCTAACACAATTGCGTTTTCTTGTGCCCGTCTCCTCAAGGCAAAAAAATATTCTGTCAACCTTCTCTTTTGTCCATCCAAGTTTTTACCTTCATCAAAACATTTCTTACATACCTAATTCAAGAAATCAGAATAATTTATATTGCATAAGATTCTTATAAATACCAACCAAAGCACAAAATAACAGGTAAGTACTAACAAATGTATCCCCGGAAAAACTATGTAAGCTGAACATATGATAAAACATTATAATGATTTATATTGTATTTGGCTTAAGTTCACATGATATTACTATACACTGCAAAAAAACATTAAATTAAAACAGAAGCATAATTTGACCACTAACAAACTATATATCCTGATTGAACAAAAAAGAGAAGCAATCAAAGTTTTAAGTGACTCTAGTTTTGAGGGTTTCAAAAAGTTTTAAATTGTATAAACATGTGACATGTCCGCTGACTTAGGTTTCTGTTAATATATAAAAGCATGAGAATCACAAAATACCAGTTAAAGTTTACTCTGAAACCTCTTTCTCAGAAATTTCCCTTACAGACTAAATGATTTTCCTCTGCATTTTCATATTATTAAGATAATATTTATCTTTTCTATATTTTTTATTAATGAGACTTGTCTATAAAAACTCCACTCCCTTTATTGCAGTTCTTTGGATATAACATCTATCTGCACTTTTATTCTTTTTGTGTCATATGGTTTTTGATAACTGCAAAGATTACAAATAACACAAATTACTTTAAATGCCTTGCCCTCTGGGTCTGGGTGCGCCAATTTATTCAGCCTTCTCTGGTAATTCACGCATTCTTTACAGAATATTTCACCGCATCTGAAAAAAAATTCATTCTTGCTAAAATAAATTATCTTTTTCAAGAATATCTTTTCAGCTTTATATAACATGTATAATACCAAATAACCTTAATAATGAAAAATAGGTTAAAAAGTGGTTTTTAATAATAGATCAGCATGTTATCATAGTTTCTGCTATAGTATAAATATTCTCATAGCAGCTTTGATGTTTGAATTTATGAGCTACCACAATACTGCAATATTTTTGAGTAAACATGTTATACATGTAGTTTCTAAGGTAATATATAAAGATGTTTTAACTGTAATGAACAAATGTTATTAATCTTAATAAAAAAAACAAGCAATCAAAATAGGTTAAGCTTTTGTTTACCACTTTATAGTTTCTATTATTTTTATACATTTGTAAGTGACAGTCTTCAGTGATTAATATTGACAAAGGAGCCTGAGGGGACAAAACTTTTTGGGAAACATAAATTACTGAAGATTTAATATGAAAATGAAAGAGGACATCGACTAGTTTCTAGACAGAAAGACTATAGAAAAGGTTTTTTTTTTTTTATCACTTTCAGAGTTTGTCCCCCACCCCCACTTTTCAGTCGACTCCTATGCCACTGATTCAGAAGTTATGACATTTCGGTCTAAATTTGTAAATTAGCACTGCAAATAAAATATTTTGGATATTTTTCTGACTCTTTGTGCTCTCCAAAAATGCATTCCTGAAATAAAACTCTTCCTGTAGTGCTCTGCCTATCTTCCTGTAGAGCTCTGCCTATCTTCCTGTAGTGCTCTGCCTATCTTCCTGTAGTGATCTGCCTATCTTCCTGTAGTGCTCTGCCTATCTTCCTGTAGTGATCTGTCTATCTTCCTGTAGTGCTTTGTTTAATATTTCAAAATTTACCTTCTACAATGATGTATTCTTTCTATCAGGGAAAACTTTTTCATGCATTGTTTGTTCCTACAGTTAGTAATTCCATCTTGGATTTTCCAATGTTGTCTTGTAATCTCTAAAATAATGTAAATTAAACACAATTTACTCACAAACTTTACATACAAGTCTAAATGATGGTATTCAGTGAATACATTCAAGTTGTTGTATTCAAAAATGGCTGGCAACCGGTAATTGCAAAATTTTTCTACAACAATGAAGAACTAAAAATTGTCGATTCGTACATATATCTTGGTATGCTGATACACACTAATGGAAATTTTTTTACAAACACAGAAGTGATTAGCCTTGCAAGGTTCATGATATTTGGCAGGTCTGAATAATTCTATAAATGGTTTATACTTGACGAAGAAAAATAAATGTGACTTGTTCGATAGTATGGTTGCATCTGTGATAAATAATGCTTAGGAAATTTGGGGTTTTCATCGTGGAAATGATGTTGAAATTATCCATAACTGTTTTTGTCCATCTATTTTGAACCGGGGTAAAAGTATGCCAAACAGTTTTTTGTATGGCGAGTTAGAGCGTTTGCCAATGTATGTAATTAGAAAACAAAACATTATAAAATACTGGTTAAATATTGTAACCACTTATTGTTACTCAGAGATGCAAATAATGGAAAAAACAATTGGGTTTCTAATGTTCCTGACCTGTTGTTTAGTATTGATTTAAACTATGTATGGTATCAGCAGTCTGATATAAACATATCATTAGATGTTATAAAAACTAGGATAAAAGATCAATATATTCAAAGCTGGTTTACATCTATACAGAATTGTGAGAAACTTACTATGTACAGTAATTTGAAATTAGATTTTTGCTTTGAAGATTACATAGATTATAATTATAACTCTCATTTTTTCACAAAGCTACGTAGTGGTACTTTGAAGTTAAATGTTGAGGTTGGGCGGTATACAAATATACCAAGAGAAAACAGATTATGTACTTCTTGTAATATGAAAAGTGTTGAAGATGAGTACCATTTTACTTTAGTGTGTCCTGTGTATAGATTTGTACTTGTTGTAATATCAAAAGTGTTGAAGATGAGTACCATTTTACTTTTGTGTGTCCTGTGTATAGATTTGTAAGGCTGCAGTTTTTTCCAAAGTACTATTGTTCGTGGCCAAATATGACAAAACTAAAGTATTTGTATCAAACAAAATCTAGATCATTTGTTGGAAAATTGTCTAATTATTTGAAATCTGCTTGGCAGATTAGATCACATCTGCTTAGTTGATTGTTTGTCTATTATATTATCTTAGAATATTGTTCTCTGCTGTTTATTGTGTGTCACAATGTAAATATGTTTGTGTTGCTATAGCATGTAACTACTGCTTTGCAAATAAAGAATTCATTCATTCATTCAATCACAGTGAATGATTCCTAATTATGCAAATCATATTAAGAATAATTTACAGTATACTGTATATAGCATTAAAATATGTGTGGGCATCATATAAAGTTACCCTTACTAGTATTTGCAACAATTGATTGATTGGTTAGTGCTACCAAATATTTAGATTTAGTATTGGAAAATCAATTGAAATGCAAAATAATATACTAATACATATAAATGTTCATGATCATAAATAATGCCAAGCAATGCAATGTACAGCAGATTCCATTTTATCACAGAATTGACATCATTGAGTTTAGCTTTTTGCAACTGGTTTTTACAGTTTGTTCTTTACTTATATTGTGCTGCTACAACACTGTCCTGGGTTAGGGGAGGATTGAGTGCTCACAAACATGTTTAACCCCACCACTTACTTAATGTGCCTGTCCCAAGTCAGGAACCTGTAATTCAGTGGTTGTCATTCATTCTTGTCTGTCATATTTGTTTTTCATATATTGTATTGTTATAAATTAAGCCGTTAGTTTTGTCGTTTGAATTGTTTCACATTTTTCATGTCGGGGCCTCCTATAGCTGACTATAAGGTATGGGTTTTCTCATTGTTGAAGGCTGTACAGTGATCTATAAATGACTATTTTGAGTTATTTTGAACTTTGGTGAATAGTTGTCTCATTGACAATCATACCACATCTCCTTATAAATAGGTCCTATCATGGATATAACAAAAAGAATCATTACTGATTTGGCAGTTTTGTTGTTTAAGGTCAGGCTGGCTGTTTGATACTGGTCATTTTCATTTTTGTATAATGATGTGTGACCATTACCTAAATATGTGATAACTCTTAGGTACATTTAAAATGTGCAACTGCTGATATTCACAATTTTACATAATGTCTTTTCTTAATAACAGTTTCAGATAGGAAACTATTTTTTTATGATTTGGTTTGTCTAGTTAAACAAATGTGAACATTAGTACTACAATGATAATTCACAATGGTTATATGTTGGACCTAACACTGATCCAGAAATATGAATGTGCACATGTGTATGTGTGTTTTTTTACATTGTACATGTATTTGTGGCTTGTCAATTAATAAATATTGCATTGAAAACTGATCAAATTAAAAAATAAAAAAAAAGAAGGAATAGATATCAAAATTTTATATATGTTTTGTATTTTAAAATTACTTATACTTTTTAACAAATTCTACATACCTGTGTTAATATCAAATTCAGAGGCAGTTTGTTCTGCTGTGCTGGCAATTTCAACTTGTCTAGTCCATAACAATTGTCCTTGTTGTTGAGAATTGTATTGTTGTGCCATTATGTGTTTTCTGTATTACAATGTCATTATTGTGTAACTAAATTTTTCTGAAGCAAAGAATATGAGGTTTTTTAGAACTTTTCTTTAGTCATGTTAGTAAGTCTATTGATTATAAAAACACTACATGTAGTTACGTTTTCATCTTCGCTAGCCAATGATTACGATCCAATCTAAAGAGGAGGGGACTGGATCATAATTCTTGGCTGGTGAAGATGGTCGAACATGTTTTTTTGGTGAATTACCAAGATTAAACATGGTGTTTGAAACCAATCTGATTAAAGTACAGATCCTGAGACTTGAGAACATGCTTTGTTTACCTGACAACACTCTCCTTGAGTACATGCTTTGTTTACCTGACAACACTCTCCTTGAGTACATGCTTTGTTTACCTGACAACACTCTCCTTGAGTACATGCTTTGTTTACCTGACAACACTCTCCTTGAGTACATGCTTTGTTTACCTGACAACACTCTCCTTGAGTACATGCTTTGTTTACCTGACAACACTCTCCTTGAGAACATGCTTTGTTTACCTGACAACACTCTCCTTGAGTACATGCTTTGTTTACCTGACAACACTCTCCTTGAGTACATGCTTTGCTTACCTAACAACACTCTCCTTGAGTACATGCTTTGCTTACCTGACAACACTCTCCTTGAGTACATGCTTTGTTTGCCTGACAACACTCTCTTCTACTTTCTGTTTTGATAATTATTACATCAGCCAATGAAATTCCTGCCTTCAAATTTTTGAAGTAGTGTACATGTATTATTACAACTAAAACAGACAATCCTGGAATGTCTTTAAAACAGAAAGAAAAATGAAGCAGTGTCAGATCACAAGAAAAGAATTGTGGACAAAGGATCTGTATTCTAATCAGATTGTGTGTGAAATACATTTATGACAACAATAATACTATGTGTGTACATGTAGCTTATGGAGTAATTCTGTATAAAAATAAGTCACAAATAAAAACTGCATGCCAAAGACCATCAACCTGATTAATTTTTTGGTATTTAAAATCCCCTAAAATGTTATGGTTCGTCACATATATATCTAGTGGGTGCTAGGGTTAACCTGTAGACATTTTACTTTTTTTTTTGCCAAGTATTTTTCACATATATGGCTTTACAAGTAATTTTTAAGTGCCCACTAATATTTTTTCTGTAAATATATCTACAATAATAGTTACAAATAGTATAAATATACCATTGAACAATTGTTTTCAAAGAATTAAAACAGTTATAAACGAAAATATTAGAACCGAACCTAAACATGCTAAACTAAGAAAAAGAAAACTAACCAAATTTTTTTTAAAAGTTTGGAAAGATGTTAATGAACTTTCCCATAGGTAATAATTGAAGTGAACTGTATTGATTGACATGGACAATGGATGCATATGTATCTGACAAAAACAGGAATCTGAGGATATTTTATAATTTAAACTGTGGAACTGAATTGACCCATATCAAGTGAAACTTAACTGTTAGTTGACTTTTTAATTTTCTGGAACATAAAATGCATTTGAATTAAATATATCTAGGTCATGCTATGCCTTAAAAAAATCAGATGCAGAGGTTTGTCTGCACTCAATCTCAGAATAAATTTTGTGGTGTAAACACTGCCATTTTAGCCTGAAGGTCCAGGTGAAACTTAGATATGTATGTCCAACTACTGTAATGTAGAGAAATCTTAATTGTAAATTACTATATGGGTATGTCTATTATTCCTGATACAATGTAGCGTGACTAACAAATATCTGATGTTGGTCACATTTTTTTGTTTACATTTTCGGTGACATTAAGTACGAAGTCAAACACGGTGATGTACTGAATATATTTTTCCGGAATACATACATACATGAAAAAATATTCAGTCAAAAAACAGCAAAGCTGTACCGAGAGGAACATATTATATGTGTTTAAGCTGGAACATAATATACTGTTAATAACACACTATTCCCAGGTTTAAGCAACACAAAAATCAACCAAAATTGGTTGTCTAGATGATCTATATACGAGAGTCTGGATGGGGTTTACAGAATAGAGACCAATATTACCGACAAATGGTCTAATGTAATAAGAAATAGAGAAAAATCGGCCAAAAGAATAAAGAATAGAGAATAATGGGGTGTTGAAATATAAAGAATAGAGAATAATGGGCAAAAAATATAACGAATAGAGAAAATGGCGTAACTATAGAATTAGAATTAGACGGAATACAGAATTGAAGGACCCCACCCCGCCCCATCCAGACCCTCATATACAATATCTCACATGCGCTTGAGGATTGGACCCTCTTTTTTATATATATATTTTTTTTTTAATTTCAATTCTTTTTAAGTTAAAACATTTATACAGTAATATGTTCTTGCTCTTATCCATACAATCAGTTTACAATAACAGTAGTTTATACATGATACCGCCACTCTATTCTTATTTTCCATGTGTCAATATATAAACTACTGTACCGTTAAATAATATAAGTGAAAATTAGTTAAAAAAGATATAGTGGATGTTTACTAAAAAAATAAAACACAATAAAATTAATAGACAGAAAAAGGATGACCCTTTCCCTAAACACATGTGCAATCATGTATTAGCTCTAGCACAGATCTGGGAATAGTATACAATATATTAATATGTCCAAGATCAGATGAGGTTTTCTCATAGTATCAAAATCATTGCCCAATAAAATTTGATCCGTGAATGTTCATGGTAGTTTGATAGCTCAGTTCAGGCTTGGAGCGACCATCGGACCGATAGATAAATATTACATTATGTAGCAGAATGGGGTGTTACGCTCCTGTTGAACTCCAAATTCATAAATATTTGATTTAATGTTAATCATTACAAATGAGCTTAACTGAATAGATTTTGGTATTTATAATTTATTCATAAAGACATTTATTAATATTCAGAAGTTTATTTATCTTGTTTTGAAAAGTATAAAAATGTAATGACTAAAATTTAGAAACTTTAAAATTTACACATATAATATTGAGCTAAATAAATCTTTACAATTGGTCTGAGGTCTCACTATATAAGTCCACCTTCAGGAAGTTCACCACCAATGATAGTGCAACTGCCACAAACCTATCATTCCATGTATTGCTCCATTTCGATCATTTTGGTAGTTTACATGATTAAAGTTATATTTGGAAAATAAATTATATATATTGTTTATTAATACTATTTTCGTTTCATTTAATTTAGATTATTTTTTTGGCATCCATCGTCAATTAGTCAATAAGGCAAAATGATTTATATTCTATGACACGAAAACTTGTTGTCTTGTTGTGTCGTAGTACTCTCTGTGGTGCTGTTTAATTATCAAAATGGGTATGTCACAATGTCCAGTTTCCTTTCAGTTGACATATATATAGCCTAGTAGAATTTGAATAATAAACAGGCAGAAAAATCACTTTAAAGAATTCCATCAATTTTACCAGTTTTCATGTTATGAAAATGTTATCCGTTGCTACTGGTATTCATTCCCGTTAAAAAAAAGTTTGGATAAACCGTTGGAAAATGTTACCTGTTTTTGTCAGATTTTGCATTAAAGGACTATTGGAACCAACATGCGTTAACCTGAAAGTTGCAGCCTTCAGTCAAAATTTGTCAAAATCTATCAAAATTACTACTTTCTTTGGCTTTCATAAATTGATTTAATGCTAAAAATACGACATATAATGTTGTTGAGTAAAGATTCAAGGATTTTTTAAATGTAAAAAAAAATAAATTAGGCGATCTCTTCCTGTATAAATTTCAACTGTCACCTACAATTCAACATAGTATCATAGGTAATGCAGATTTTGCCAGATTAGACATGACAAATACTTCACCACTTGTTACAGATACAAATATGTCAGACAAAGTAAAACAAAAGTTGACAAGATAATCCACTGTATAGATAGTTATCAAAGACTATAACACAATTTCATATAACACAAATACAAGTCAACTATCATAAGTGTATAATACAGTTTCGCCTTGATACAACTTTGCAGATTTTGGCAGTATGAAACCCCATATTTTCATTTGTAAAAAGAAATATCAACTTTTTATTATCAGGCACATGTAAAGCATTATCATCAATAACACCAGCATGATTAAAAATAACAACGGATATCTCCATATACAGGACAATTAAACAAAACATATTTTTCCTCTTCAACTTCATCAGTACAATTGAAACGTACTCTACTTTCTGTATCAATACTTTCGTAACGACCAGTTCCAAATCTGATAGGATCTCAATTTTGCTAAAGCACGTACTCCTGTAATTACCAAGTATATCAAATATTTTCTACATCATATACATTTTTGAACAGTCTATATTTTATCTTTCTAACCAAAATGCATATAACTAGAGGTGAACATTTGATTACATCCACATCAATAATACATAAACAAACAACAAAATATGTGCCATAATAGCAGGAGGTGGAATTATAAATAAACACTGTTCTAATATTAAAAGATTTAAAAATAAATTAACCTAAATTATACAGCTCTTTTGCATTGTTTGTACTCATATTAGTTCAATAAATTTGTACATCGATTGTTTTTTCCAATAATATGGCTTAATAAAAAAAATTCGAAAAGCTTGAAAAAGTGGCGGCATTTGAGGATGAAATGATACTCATCTTTTATATAATTTTTACAAAAAGTACACATTTTATTATTTCTTGTTTTACCATAAAATCTTCCATTTTCTGTAGCCAAGTTGTGGCTACTTAATCTTATTTTCGTAATACGTGTTTTGTAAACATTAGAAAATAAAGTTGCCTATCATGTATTTATAAATAGAACATTTTGGAGAAGTACATATATGCAATCAAGATCTTGTTTTCGACAATTATATAAACGCTGCATAATGGCAGCAAAATATACATCATACAACATCTCCTTATTTTTATATCAGGTAAGTCTGAAATAAGATTTTGGCAATACCATACATCACCTAACCCGATAACAAACAGTTCGTTCTTAAAGAAATACAATCAATTACCCTTATTATTGGGAAATATCTCTAATTCGTCATATAAGTCATTATAACAGTCTTTCAATATACAGTTTGAAATATTCAGCAATTTAAACTAATATTTGAAAATCTTGCATTTTCTTGTAAAAATAAGAGACAATCTACATAGTTTATGATATATCATGACATTGTAAGTAGATAATTTAACACCAAGTATGTTCTTACAATAGTTCAAGCGTACTCACTCCATGGCAGGGGCTTTGGGTGCACCTAATATTTCACTTGCATAACTCAATAAAGAATTGATATAAGTATCAAAAAGTGATAACAAAGTGACCTAGTTGAAATACATACCTTTTTTTACCATTTAGGCATAATTTTGTCATACCATTCACTCATGCTTAAATTTTCAAAAAGAATCATTTTAATATTCTTAATTCATGTCTTGTTTAAAAAAGCATCATTACACAAATACTCCAGATCAAGTCCCTTAAACACTTTTTAACTCTGAAATGTCAATGTTTTACTCATCTACATGTGTCATCCCATATATACAATTTTATATTTACTCTATCATTATTCATTTTATATATTTTTGATCATTTTCTAAAATCACTGGTCCACTGTTTGCATGGCATCCAGCACATGTCACCATGAAAGACATATTAGATTGCAGTTTCCGACACCCATATAATGGATATGCATGGCTCTATTTTTTACACTATTTTTACATGAAATATCCCGTGCTCCCCATATATAGACACCATAAATTATTACAAACCATACGAGAGCTTCAAACAATTTTGTAAATGTACAATATGTAAAAACACCGTTAGCTTTACATTATGATATAAACAAACCCAAAGATCTATTATAGTTTCTTTTGCCATATCATCAGCTTAAATGTTAAGCAAACAATATACATACATATGTATATTTGGAAACAATATCAATGCTGTTACCATTAAAATAAAATGATATAGATATAGACTGAAATATTTTAGATTTTTCGTAATCATCAATTAGGTCATTAGTGCAACACCACATATTCAAAATATAGTAATAATTTCTGTAGATCACTCTCATTCTCAGTAAGAAATAATTTTATAAAAGCCGTTATTTTTTCGTCTGAACTGCTTTACTATGGAGTTGTCATGTCGATGACTTTTATAGCTGACTAGTATACGGTATGGGTTTTGCTCGTTCTTAAGGGTCATACGATGACCTATGTTGATTACACCTACGTCATTTGCTCTCTGGTGGATACTGTTGTCTCATTGGCAATCAAATGATATCTTCTTTATCTTTATAATTTTACGATTATCAATATCTAGACCCGCTATGTTTAACTTCTTGACTTCTCAACTTCTAGTGTTCTTCGTTCAATTCATTCAAATATACAGAAATGTCTACGCTATATTACTTTTTGTCGTACAATTTATGTAAGTAAATCGTCTCCAAATATATTCGTTGGGTTGATTATAGTATACCATCTATTTCAAATCTTGGTGCTGTGTGTTTGGTGGATAAAAGCTAATATATAACGTACATGTACAACATTTTTTTTATTAGGTGAAATATAGTTTTCTGTATTTGCAATAAATATGCTAATCAAAAAGTTATATTAACAGTATAATTTAGAACTTGTAAATGATTTATTGAACTTTTATGCAAGCGACACATTCCCCCTAAGCAAAATTTATAATTTATTACATTTTCCGTAAATACTTCATGGTATCTATAAATTAAAGCAGAATTTGTAAAAATATATTTACATCGGGTTTTAAGTTCATACAAAAGCTGATGTT